TTCTTTATATACACTTTTTGTTTTTCCCTGTTCATTATACTGTCTCAAACCCCAAGCAGTATCAGTACCCCATTCTAAGCCTGTAGTTCTCATGAAATCCTTCCAAGTATGGGACTTATAAATATAATTATCCCATCTTTCTCTCCAAGAAATAAACACATTCTTCAATTGTCTCTGTATGCTCTCCTTTTGTTCCTTACTAAGCAGGCACCAAGGTGGCCCAAATCTGGCAAGTCTGTCCATGAATTGTAATGAATACCAAGAAATCCTTTTTTCTCCTAAGGCAGTGGTTCATCCATAGGTACTGGAATTTTATACATACTTTCTTTCCCTTTCGGTGGATGCCATAATCTACCTCCTGCCAAAACATAAGCCAGACCAAAATTAGTCATAACAGTTGGTGGTCACTTTCTTTTTCTCCTAGTACCAGAATTAGGGTCTTTTCCCTGAATTGCCTGTCCTGTAGGAAATACATCATCTTTAGGACTTTCTAACATTAGCTCTGCTTGTTCTATTCTGTCCATGATATTCCATGACTGATTATTTCTAGCAGCTTCTACTATAGCTTTAAGCAGTAAAGGTGCATCAGGAGACAAGGTCATCTGAGGAAACCGAGTTCCTAGATACCCATAAAAGAATGACAGTCATAAAGATAATAGCAAGCAAAATACAGCCAAGTACACTGAAGATCTTCTTTGCACTGCCAGTTCCAAGAGGCAACCTTCCTTGAAGTTTCAGCCTCAACCCACTCAACCCACGGAGGCTCTCACGCGGGCTCCATTGGAGATGGCGTGACAAAACCCCACAAAAGTTATTGAAGAATAGGAAAGTTTTGTTAGCCATCGTTGAGATTTAGTTGAATAGGAGGAATAAATTGTGTGTTTGTGTGTATTTGCATGTATGTTTGTGTGTGCCATGTGGTGCTCATTAGGTATCTTCTTAAATCACTCTTCACCTTATTTTTTAAAAAATATTTTATTATTTTTATGTGTTTGAGTATTGCCTGCATGTAAGTGAGTGCACCCATGTCGTGCAATGCTGCGACATCAGAAGAGGGCTTCAGGTTCCCCTGGAGCTGGAGTTAAGGACGATTCGTAGCTGCCACGTGGGTGCTGGGAATTGAACCCGGGTCCTCTGCAAGAGTAGTCAGTGCTCTTAACCACTAAGCCATCTCTCCAGCCCCTCCACCTTATTTTTTTTAATTTAACTTACTATTATTTATGTATGTATGTATATATGGGTGTGGGTACCTGTGCTACGGTGCATGTATGGAGGTCAGAGGGCAATTTACATGAGTCCTCTTCTTTCACCATGTGGCTTTGGGGATCCAACTCAGGTCATTATTAAGCTTGGTGGAAAGTCCCAACTTTTGGTGGTGGTGGGGTTTGAGATAGGGTTTCCCTGTAGCCCCAGCTGGCCTGGAACTGACCAGACTGACCTCCACTTCACAGAGATTCACTTGCCTCTGCCTCCTGAGTGCTGGGACTAAAGGCAACACCACCATACCTGGCAGATGGCAAGTGCCTTTACTGGCTGAATCATCTCATTGGTTTTCTATTTTATTGAGATAGGGTCATAAAAGTCAGAAGGGTTCTCGCCTGGTTTTTGGAGTACGCTGGTGGTTTTGGACATATTGGTAGGCTTTTTTGCTCCTTTTCTTAGTCCTTCTAGGAGAGCTTGCCAGTATCTCTTTAGGCTGTCTCTATCGCACTCTGAGTTAGGGACTCAGTGAGGATCTTCTTGTGGAAGGGAATTCCTGGCTCATACCTGCTGGGCTATGAGCCATCACCATTTCCAGGCATCATTCATTAATCACACCATTCTTCAGTGTTGGGGAGGGTTAGGAGGAGCCAGTGGTAGTCTCCCCAAATGGGGAGGTGTACTGGATAGCTTTAGTGTCAACTTGACACACCTGGATTGAGGGAGCCTCAATTGGGGAATTTCCTCCATTGGACTGGCCTATGGTCATATCTGTAGGGTCTCTTTTTGATTGTTCAGCCCATTGTGGGTGTTGCTACCCCTGGGCAGGTGGGCCTGTGTTGCATAAGAAAACAGGCTGACCAGGGGCCAGGGGATCAAGCCAGTAAGCAGTGTTCCTCCATGGCCTGTGATCCAGCTCCTGCCTCCAGGTTCCTGCACTGAGTTCCTACCTTGGGCTCCCTGATGAACTGTGACCTGGGAGATGTAAGACAAATAAACTTCTTCTTCCCCAAGTTGGTATTGGTCAGAGTGTTTTGTCACGCAATGGAGAAACTAGGACAGGGGGTAAGTTTGACAGATTCCACTAGGTCTATCATAGCCTGAAGTCTCTCAGAGTATGAGGGGATGGATGTTTCCAACTGAGCAAGTCTGTAGTGAAGGGCTGGTAGTAGAAAACAGACTGTCCTCCCTGGATGCGCCCATCCTGAGCCACATGTTGGGGGCCTCTGGTCTCTCAAAAGGCCATCTTGAGGGAGAGTTATGGTCTCTGGGCTGAACAGAGGCACCTGCTCACCTGTTCAGGTTCCTCAGGCCTGGGGGGATATATTGATGGTAATGAACTCTCCCAGCAAGTGAGGGGGGGGGCAACTCACCCTGGAGAGGCATAATACTCCAGCCTCAGGGAGATACTGATGGTGGCAGACTCTCTGGTAAAGATGGGGTGGTGTGCAGGAGGGCTCTGGCCTAGGTGGAGAAGTGTAAGAAGGTAGTGGTAATAAAGGATCATCTGGGTCCCCCTGGAGAATTGGTGGAGTCTTGGTGGGGGCTCAGTTTTTTTGACTGAGACCAGGTTCTCATCATGAGAATCCTACACTGTCCCTATTAGTGGCAGAACCATGAATCAAAGTCACCTGCACCCAAGAGTTTATATATGGGGATTGGTCTGGGTGGCTCAGTTCCCCATTTATCATGTGATAAATGATACATCCAAACTTTCTTCTGGGGGCCATTCAACATCAAAAGTTGGCCATTCCTAATTCATAGACAGTCCTTAATTTTCCTGGCATCATCTTAGTATCATAATCTCTTGACTATCCCTTCCTGAAAATTTTGATCATACACATACAGTCTAGCACAGTGGACTTGGTGGAGGACCCTCCCATGGTGAACTCCTCATTGTGCTGGCGTGGCAAGACAGATAAGGACCTCCTGGGCAGACACTGCTCAGGCAGAGATCTCTTTGCCTGCCTGGCCACTCCTTCTTGGAGATGTCTTTGCCTCTTAGTGACAGGTAGGTTCATACAAACCCTGAATCTGTACTGAACCTGAATTAGTTCCCAAGGAGCCAGGGCCACTGTTTAGCTGTAGGAGGACATCATGGAACCACAGGTTAGGGCCCAGTCAGACTCCATAGTCTCAAGTCTGCAAGACAGAGCCCTATGGTCTCTCCTCCTTAGATCACACCTGGCCTCAGCCAAGCTTTGCAACTGGCAGCATTTCAAAGGGCAGGTCTTATCTGAGGATACAACGACGTTTCCCAGTCAGGGAACCAAACTGTTAAGGAATCACTGCATTCAGAATGGGCACCAGAGACTGAGTGGAAGATTGCAAGCTGTGATTGTGCTGGTATGGACTCAGGGAAGTAACACCCAAAGCCTGAGCCCCAAACCACAGTTATTCAGATTTATAGGCAGCTCACAACTGTCTGTAAGTCCAGTTCCAGTGGATCTGAAGCCCTCTTCTGACCTCTGTGGGCATTTGTATGACTCGGGTGCATTTACATACATGCAGGCAATACATACACATAAAATAAAAAAAAAATACTAAAAAAAAAATTCCTGCTTATGTGACTGCCGGCCATGGTGACTGCCAGCTGAGCGCACGGGTCTCTAGTCATGACAGCAGAGCGTGAGTGGGAACTTTCGGTGGTCAGCCTGTTTACAGAAGTGGAACATTGGGGTAGGCTAGGTGAATCTTTGGCAGACAACTGCATTTCAAGATTAGGAACTACGGGTTCATGTCTCACTCAGTTTAGATTCCCTGTCTCAGTAGTTTGTTTCAACTATTACAGTTGTAATGACACTTCATTTTTTTTTTTCTTTTGAGATGGGTCATATAGTGCAAGCTGGCCTCAGATTCACTATGTAGCAGACGATGATTTGAACTTCTGATTCTCCTGCCTCCACCTCTTGAGTGCTGGGATTATAGATGCATGCCATCATATCTGGTTTTTGCAGTGCTGGAGATAGAATTCAGGCTCATGCATGCTGGGCAATCACTCTTAATTGAGTTACAGTCCTATTGCTCATTTGATTTTTTTTTTTTTTTTTTTTTTTTTTGAGGCAGGGTCTCCCTGTAGCCCCAGCTGTCCAGGAACTCACTATGTAGACCAGGCTGGCCCTTTCCTCTAGGTAGTTTTGTGTTTCACAGTGTGCAGATGTGATTTAAACAATATTGTAGATAGAGTAGCATCTTTAAAGAAATCAAATGAGCCGGACGTGGTGGCGCACACCTTTAATCTCAGCACTTGGGAGGCAGAGGCAGGCGGACACCTGGAGCTACAGGCAGACCCTGTCTCAATAAGACCAATATATATATATATGCACTTTCAGTATTCAAGATAAAATTTAAACGCTGAATGAACACACTTTGCCAAGCTACGTTTTAGCCACATACAGGACGATTATTGCCGGAGTGAATTCGACTTTTTAAACAGGCCTTTATTAAGTGAAATTCGTCCAAAGGAGAAAGATTAGACAACTACAACAGCAAAATATCTCCAAACCCGTTGTTCTTTAGGTTAAGTTTGATCACTGCTATCCTGGCACAGGTGGTGCTTTCTTCTTAGTTTTCAAAGGCTTCGGCCCGCTGGGTCTGGCTCCATAAACGAGCGGGGGCGTCCAAGCCTCCTGGAGGGGCAAAACGCATACCCTAGGTAACGACTGTGGCGGCGTTGCTGGGAGCTGTAGTTTGTGTGGTACTAAAGTGCATGTGTGCAAGCTCGTAGGGGGCAGCCAGGAACTACACTTCCCAGGAGCCATCGGGCCAGGGTCGGGCGAGGCCTGTCCGGGAGGCGGGGCTCCGGCTTCAGTGGTGATTGTGGCGGCTCTTTCGTAAATGCTGGGGCGACTCCGGGGAGACTGTGTTGCCTGTTGGAGCGGTCGAAAGGCTGGAGCTTCGCAGAGCGGTAATTGGTGGGCCAAAGGAGCGGAGGAGCTCGTCCGCTGCCGGTACTTGAGGAGGCTGGCTGGGCGCCATGGGGCCCACCTCGGACTTCGGGCTGGCTCGGCGGGACGCGGAGGGATGCTGCGGCTGGCGGTGGTAGTCCCGGAGCTCGCCCGTTAATCCGCTTTGTTCTTTGCACACCCAGCAGCTCCCCGCGGTGTGGGCCTCCGTCCGGGACCAGGTGGACCCCAAGCTCCGCCGGGGACGCAGTATGGTCGGGCCGGTGCAGTGGCGCTGCTTGCTCACCCGGGGCTTCTCGTAAAGATCCTTCGTTTTCAAGGAAGATTTTTGTTTTGAGGGGACGGGCCTATCAACTCGGAACTGTGAATTACTTTTTAGGGTCTGATTTTTTTTTTTTTTTCATCACTGTCCCCCGATGCAGATATCTTGTTTTTGTCCAGATAGCTTTAAAGATGGCGAGGCTTTTAAAATTAGTAGAGTTTTTTTTTTTTTTTTTTTTTAAGACAGCTTTGTTGATGTATAGTTGGTGTATAATTAACGGACCGGTAATGCATATAGTTCTATGAGCAGAAACATACTTTAATGTTACAGGCATTTATTATATATGTTTTATCAAGGCCTTCATACTAGCAATAAAGAACAGATAAAGGGGGAACAGTTTTTTAGTTTTTTTGTCTTTTTGAGACAGGGTCTCCCTGTAGCCCCAGCTGGCCTGGAACTAGCTATGTAGACCAGGCTGGCCTGGAACTCACAGAGATCCACCTTCTTCTGCCTCCCGTGTGCTGGGAATTAAAGGCATGTGCCACCATGACCGACTTAGTTTTTAGTGGTTTTGAGACAGGTACTCTCTATGTAATTGGACTGGCCTCCAATTCGAATGCTGGATTTTAGATGTGCACCAACAATGTCTGACCCCGAATCAGTTTCTATTATTCAAACTGACATTAAATATATTTTTAGAGACATAGTAGTAAAATTGAAGCGAAGATAACAGAGGTTTTAGATTTTAGTGCTTCAAAGAAGGGAAGGGGCAGAGTAAAGATAATTTTAAGAGGGCTGCCTTCCATCAGTATTGCTCTTGGTTAGTCTAGTAGGGAATTTTTGACGTTTTCTATTTTACAGAATGACCTTGTAGCTTGTTTTCTTACTGAATTTGGATTTTATTTTTTTATTTTAAAGATTACTCTTTAGCTGGTTTTTACTTTTATGTGGATTTTGGGGATGGAACTTAGGTTGTTAGGCTTACATGCATGGTCTTTACCCACTTTGAGCCATCCCACTAGCCCTATTTTTTGTTTTAAGATTTATTTATTTTTATTTGTACAAGTGTTTGGATTGTTTGTATGTATACTGATATATGTATAATGCCCACAAAGGCTGGAAGAGGGCAGCAGAGCTGCATGTTGGTGTTGGGAATTGAACTCAGGTTCTCTGGGAGAACAGCAAGTGCTCTTAACCCCTGAACTACCTCTCCAGCCCCATATATATCCCCCCCCCCATTTTGTTTTTTGAGACAGGTTCTCTCTGCATCCACACTGTGTTCTAGAACTCACTATGTAGCCAGACTGGCCTCAAACTGTTGATGGTCCTCCTGCCCCAGCCCGCTCTGTGCTGGGATTACATGTGTGAGCCACAAAAATTGGATTTTGAACGATTTCCTTTTAAGGATGTTAAAATTTAACCCAGATTTCCTGAGAAATTCCTACCTTTTAAAGACACGTTTTCAACTTAAAGACCCTTAAGGATTATCATTCTTAGAACAGATTTAAAATAAGTTACAGAAGAGCTAACAGATATCCAGTAATGTAATGTTTGGTAACCTAAGTGCATAGCCCAGTGTGTACACCCTTGAAGGCAGGAGCCCCCTTTCTGTCAATATCAACCCCAACCCCTATCTTTCTGGGTAGTCACCATTCTTTTTTTTTTTTTTTTTTTTTTTTTTTTTTTTTTTGTCTTAAAGGTAGGGTGTCCCTTGTAGCCCTAGGTGGCCTGGATGGAGCTCACTATGTAGACCAGACTGGCCTTGAATTCACAGAGATCCGCCTGTCTCTGCCAAGTGCTGGGACTATGCCCAGCTCATTCTTTTTTATAACTATGTTCCCCCCCTTTGGTGAACTTATATAAGTGCAGATGTGCACTACGTATCTGTATCTGATTTATTCCTTACTCATCCATATTATTACTTGCAGCAGCAGCTTAAAAGAAAACTTTAGTAGCTGTGGTTCTCCAAGTGTGATATCTGTGAGAAAACAAACTATGCTACCATTTTTGTCTATTGAGTGCCTGGCAATCATTCTTTTGTTCTAAGAAAACTTTTAATTCTCTCTCTCTCCCTCTCTCTCTCTCTCTCTCTCTCTCTCTCTTTCAATAAAATATTTTTTTTTAATTAGAAGAAGCGTTTCATTACAACAGCATTAACCTATTCAATAACATTTTTCTGAGCTAGGGTACATCTCTTTCAAAATTGGCTGTACATTT